GCAAAGGCAAAGGCCGCGAGGCTCGTCCATCCCGAAGTCGCAACACTACCCCAAACTCCAGCTTCAGCGCCGGCCCGACCGCCTCCGCCCCGCTCCACAGCTACCTTGACAACGATGTCTCCAAGCTGATGATGACCGGCTCGACCATCCAGTATGGAGAATTGCTCGAGCGCATGGGTGGAGTTGGCCCGATCCCCGATTCCAAGTCACTCGAGTTGTTGATGGAACACCTCAAGACCCTGAGCCAGCTAGCCGAAACACGAGGTGACGCATGCAATGCCGGCATCAGAGAGCTATCACAGAAGCGCAAGGAGGTCGTTGAAGAGCAAGAGTCAGCCGAGCGAGAAGGGACCGATCGAGTGAAGATGAAGCGAGAAGCCGATGACGAGGAGGAAGAGAAGGTACTGAAGGGAGGCAAGCTAAAGAGGCGCAAGGAACGCGGAAGCAGTTCCAAGGAGGAACGTCCGCTGACTCACGGTGCCCATGATGTTGCGCGACAAGACGGTGCTGAGACGAAGGTGGAAGGAGGTGAGTCTATCTTTCACTCCGTATTTGCGATGAAGTGTAGCCTTTCAAGTCTACTCATCATGCGCCTCGATCCTATGCTAACTCATGCAGCCGCATCCCCAGCTTCCAAAAAGTCCAAGCATGCTGCTTCCGAAGAGGCCTCGTCTCTATCCCCCAGATCGCGAAAATCTCCCCAACCAGCTGCCGATGAAGCGGCCGAGGATGCAGGGTCGCCCGGATCGGATGATAGCTCCGAGTCACACCAACCTGAGCCCGCGCCGGCCGTGCCACAGGTGCAAGTGTTCGGTCCCAACCCGCTCAAATTCGATGACCCCACCATATATCACATCCGGGAGGTTACTCCAGACATGACCGATGAGGAGAAAAAGGCTATCTACAGCGTCGCCCGATTCCCCTGGAGTGATTTGAGCCATCTGATGGCAGGCTCCCCTCCGGATCGCGATTTCAGTAGCTCCAAGCCCGCGAGTCAAGTCAACGCCAACACATTCCTAGCCTATATCGATCCATACGTCCGACCATTGACAGAAGAAGACATAGCGTTCCTCAAAGAGAAGGTGAGCTCTCCAATCGACCTCGCCAAGGCCCATCGCTCACCCACCCAGGGCGATCGCACGACCCCCTTCATCATGCCTCGACGCGGAAAGAAACACTACACCGAAGTATGGGCCGAGGACGACGGGCTCATGAACGTCGACCAACCCAACGGCGACAAAGAGCGGCTACCGCTCAACCAAGGCCGAGGAAACATCGACCAAGTGACCGACGAGACTGTCGAAACCGACAAAGTCTCCGTCGGCCCTCTCGTCAGCCGTCTCTACTCACTACTCCGCTATGAGCATCGAGCCCTCCCCGACGAATCCGCCCCCAACGCCAACGGCTCCGTCAACGGCGACATGGCGAATGGCCCCATGAACCCCGACTCCATGGACATCGACCACCCAACCGGCGAGACCTCCAACGAAACCAAACCTTTCCCCTCCGCAACCGCCTTCCCCGACTCCTCCCCCAATAACTTCAAAGTCCCCGCCGCCAAGCTCGACCACTCGCAGCTAGACGAGCGCCTGAAAGCCGAACTCCGCCACGTCGGCTTCCTCGGGCCAGACGACAACCCCGACTACGACGCCCACTACGACGACGACATCGCCCAACGCCTCCGCCTCCTCCAAAGCGAGCTCAAGAAACAAATGATCATCAACAGCGCCCGCAAGACCCGTCTCCTCGACATCGCCCGCGAACGCATGGCCTACCAGGAGTACATGACCATCCACGACGACCTGGACTCCCAGGTTCAACAGGCCTACCTGAAACGTACCCGCACCCTCGGAAAAAGCAAAAAGGGCTCCCAGGCCAAACACCGTCCCGGTGGCGCCGGCGGCGGCAGCCATGTCGTCAGTGCTGCAGGCGTTGGCCGTCCCGCGATTGGTGATGTTGCCCGCACGCTTATGGATCGACGTAAGCGGTGGCGCGATTGCATCGGTCTGGTCTTCAAGGATAGTAAGACTAGTGTTCCTGGGAAGAATGAGTCGGTCTTTGAACCGTCATTGATGGCGGAGGTTGAGAAGGCCGAGGTGGAGGGCTGGGATGAGGAACAGGAATGATCGATCGATGCATCCATTCCTTGCTTGCTTGCATGTCTTCCTGCCCGCTTATTCCGGTTTTCGTTTCGATGTACATATTGCGTTTGTTTTGTCTGGTTCCTTCTTTGGTTGATATCTTAGCGATGATTGAGTGGGGGATTTTACCTTTTGGTTTAGCTTTGGGTTATGGCGTTGGGGAGGGATGAATGAATGGATGGATCGATATGATCGGGATGTTTTACTTGTGAGGTAACATATACTCAGTGTATCAGCTGGGGAGATACTTGGCTCTCTATATATAGATCAGGTAACGAGGATTAATAACACTCTACTTACTTCATTACTGTAATTCTCCTAAGTGACTTGAAATGAATATTACTGAAATAGGTGTATTTAATGTATATTGGTAAGTAATAATTCAGCAAATCGGGTATCAACATAAGCAAAGCAAGCTAGAAAGGAGTAGAGGTAGTAATTATCGATGCAATATGAGCACTTCTCCCGGGAACCTCTTCAACCGCGCCGTCAACTCTCTCTCGCTGATCTCCAACTCTGTACAGATCTGATCGAAACAATGCATCCCATCGAGATACTTCGACAGCGCCTTGTCATCAATATCATCTTCCTCTTCCTCACCTTCGAGAGTCACGAACGTGGCCGGCCGACTTCCACTGTAAACTGAGGTTGAGTGATGGCTCGGCCCACCATCGTGCTGTGCAATCGGAGCCGGGTCGTCTCCAGCACTAGTGGCGTAAGGACTGTTCGTGCCTGTGCCGGGCCCCCGCGACGATGGACCGCTGGGTGGATGTAATGAGGGCGAGCTGTGGTGATGATAGTGAGAGGATTTCATGGGTGGTGCTGGGTTTCCTGTTGCTATGGCGTACTTGTGCACACGGTAAATGAAGCCCTTGATGACGCCGAAAGTGATGAAGCGGCGGATGTCGATGTGGGCGAGTTGTCGACTGTGTTGGAGGTACCATTGTTTGACGCTTTGGCCTTGCTTGAGACTGGCGTAGAGCTCAACGAGGCCGACGCCGTCGACGAGTTGGGGCTCGGTGGGATGTATGTCTGTGGTAGTGGCGGTGTCGTCGTCGGTGGCTGTTCCTGGAGCCGGCGACGTGGTTCTGCTGCTGCTGGCTTGGATGGTGCCGGCGCTAGGACTAGGGCTAGGGGTTCGACTAGGGCTGCGGCTGGAAATCGTGATCTCGCTGACGCTACTGGCTGTGAGAGGTTGACCGACTGGGGGCCAGACGGTGTCGGGATCGTAATGCGGGGGATACCCCGGGGTCAGGGCGGCCGAAGCAGCGGTGATTGGAGAGGCAAAGACGGTGTTGACGTAACGGGCGCATTCCTGCTGCATTTCTTCGTCCGTGGCAATTGTGGAGCTGAATTGGGCGGTTGGGGCATATATGGCTGAGAAGGAGAAGATGTCGAGGAGGAACAAGCAGCCGTAGTAGAGCAGGTGACGAATGGCGCGGCAGGTTAGGGAGAAGTCTGTGTCGGCAAGAATGGAAATAATCCGAACGCTATTGACGCCATTGATGTGGGGGACGATCTGGAGGGGAAGTTCAGCTGGCTGCGATGCAGCGAGAGGCGCAGGTATGAACATACTCGTTGCATGGTCAGATCCCAGTTCTCATCCATGAAGGTCTGGTAGCGGACCGTGAACAGCGGCACATGCCATGCCTTGACAGGCGGCGGGGCAGGATAGATGGGGAAGAGCTTGATGTTAAGGGTGTTCAGCTCGTCTGGGATCTCCCGGGTTAGCAGCTGGGATTTGGGCAGACGCGCAGTGGACTGAAAGGGGTAGGCGTTACCGATTGGGATCATGCACTCGCAGTAATTGTTCAGATCCTCCATCAGCGTCTCACACAGGCTGTATACCTTTCCCTCACCGGATTTGGAATGATCTCGCGATAGGAAGCCATTCTGCTCCTCCAATCCATGCATCAAATCGGCCAGCTTCTGCACAACACTCTTGTAGGTGCTGAAATCCTCATCCTCCGACAGCACCACGCAGAAATTGAAGATGAACTCATTCCGGTCGTATCGCAGGGACTTCATGCAGATCGGATAGCCCAAGATGCGGTAGCCATTGGTGCAGACCTGGATCAGGTTCCCACACAGCTCTTGCCGGGGAATGACGAAGAAGGAGATGTCGGAGAAAGTGAGGAAGAGGGGCTGCGAGGGGGCAGTTGCGGAGGGGACAATCGCGCCATCGGGGACTTGGTGGACGACCTTGGGCCCTGAAGCAGTCAGCAAATGACATTGCATGAAACCTCTAATGAGATCGGGGCTGCTTACCTTCCTGTGTGTCGAATTTGCTGTAGAAGATGGCTTTGATCATGGTGGAATGGGAGACATCGAGAAGGAAGGGGAGGGGAGGGGGGAAAGACAGACAAACTCGCGGGGAGCTGCGGGGAGCTTCCAGCCCAACGCGGAATTTCCAGCATCCATCCGCCGACCGCTAACTGTTATTTGCCCCCTCACGCTCTGGGATATTCACAACGCTCTCAGATCATACCATATTCTTATATAAAATTATTGTCTATTGTGTGTTACCGCATTCTTCTAATCTGCAATTTATTTCAACTTTAAAGAAAAGACGATCAAGGAAGGCGCATCTATGTGCAAATGGTGCCACATGTGGCTCAAAGGGGGTATTACAACTGTAAAAAGTGAAAAAAAAAAAAAAAAAAAAAAAAAAAAAAAAAAAAAAGAGGGTGCGCAGAGTCACGGGAAATCTATACGGTCGAAAGAGGAATCGGAGATGTGAGAAGCAGAGCAATGAGCAATATCGCCAAGGAAGATATCCACCGAGGATGCGCCGCAAATGCATGAATCAGAGTAGCCGGACCCATTTCGCTAAATGTTGAACCTCGCAAGGAAAGGAAACCGCAGTCGACTGCCGTTCTATCGGGCTGTCCGTGACGACGAATGAGCATAACGCTGGATACCCCGGCTGGACAGCATGGACGGGGTGGGGAGAACGAATGGCTCTGAAAGTGAGGCAGATGATCGACCGCCGACCCTTCCGACGGGCGGCATTGGAGGAGACGTATCGTATAGATAACCCAGTGGCTGACCCATCCGGATCGCACTGAGCACGTCGGTGTAGCTCCCTCGCTCCCCGGCTTCCTTCAGCCACTGCTCCCAATCCTCGTCCAGTGACACGTCTGCCCCCTGCTCGCGGGCTGCGGTCGCCGCTATGAGGCGATGGTTCAGCTCGACTCCGCAGCTTTCCATTTCGTCATCGCTTGAATCTTCCTCCTCTTTCTCTTCCACAATGCAATCGATCCCCCGGTCATCGATCAAGCTGCTGGTAGAGCGCACGGTCTCGAATGTCACCACCGGGTATTCCGGTTCTGGCAAGAATTCATCCTCCTCCTCCTCCTCCGTCTCATCCTCGTAGTGGACCTCGATCGATGGGAGGGGAGAAGGAGAAGCGGGTCGAATATTGTCTGCCGTAGTATCGCGGACTTTGACTCCCTCTTCCTTCTCGTAACGCTCGCGAGCCGATTTGGTGCCTTCCCAGCGGCAGAGGGAAGAGATCTCAGTCTCCGTAAGACCAAGCTCGTCAAACGCCCGGAACAGTCTTCGGTGCCATGGAAAACGACCGAGCCTCATGCGGTGTGGACCATAGGAATAGTCAAGTCCCGGATACTGAGCCTCGGGGCAGTCAAGCGATCCATAGAATGTGGATGTTTCGACTCGAACTTCGGGGACCAGGTTGCGGGTAATATGTGCTGAGAATGTAGCCGGGTCACTCGCGCGCGGGCGCGGAAATAATGTGCTGTGCACTATTTGGGCCAGTGAAGGCTTATGCATGGTGATGGTGATGGCGGTGTTGACAGTAAGAGTTGGAGACGGGGAGCGTTGATAAGGGACGGAGGTATGTAGTAGTATACCAAGGAGAAGTATAGAAATAATTCGGAAAGAAAGGGATGTTGATTAAAAGATGGGGGTGAAACTTGTAATGACGAAAGGAGGGGAAGGGAATAAGTGAAGGCTAGTAACAATAAAATAAATGAGAGTTTGGTCGTTCAATAGCGGAAAGGCAAGGAATGAATCGAGGGCAGGAGATGCAAAAAAGGGACTGTGAATGCAAATAGATCTGGTTCCGGACGGGGGGCCGTTGGGGATCGTCGGGCAATAGTGGAAAACGGGGACGGGCTAGAAAAGGAGATATGCCGCGATGCAGTCGTCAGATCTCGCCACGGTTTCAGCCACGGCCCGCATTCAAATATTGATTAGTGAAACGGTCGTTAAGGCGGGTGGTTATGATTGCTTAAGGGGAAGGCCGACGCAGAAAAGGCATGCCTCCACCAGATCAACACATGGAAACCCGGTCCACACGTGGGTTCAAATTGGAGATGAAGATGAGGGTGGGTATGGGACGCTGATGACGATGACCCTCAGACTCTATTTATTCCTCCTTATCGGTTCGACTTTGGGATCGTTGGGCTCTTGGTGAAAGGTGTTGTAACACGCCAAATGTCTTAACTTCAGGTACCGTTAGGACCCAAAGCCTAATCCGTCAGTTCTTGTCACTTAGAAGCCTAGTAAGAATGGCCCATGGTGATGACGATAATGATCGCTGTCGTCCGTAGGGCTGTTCCCGATCCAGGGAAAAGCAGGGAAAAGAAAGCGTTAGTGATGATTTCCAGAAAAGAAAATCAAGCCCGGGTTGGAAAAAGCGAAGGATGGAGGTGATCATGTTTATATATCAGGCCAGGAGTCTTTTGGTGCCAGTCGGGTGACACACACTGGGACAAACCGGACCACGCATGCAAATGACCAGCGCATAGGGGACGAACTGCGTGGAGTCGTGAGTTAGCCAACCTAAATCCGTGACAACAGGAGAGATCCATCGAAGGAAGAGTTGTCCGCCTCTCCCAATAAAGTCGAGCCATGAATGGCACCGAAACCTGTGCTGGCGAGCGGGTCTTGACGCCCACTCGCCTCACAGTCATTGCCTGCAAGGCCACTTGGTCGCGGGCAGGGCTTTCTCTGCCCGTTGGCTTTCACGCCGGGGCCATGTAGGTACTTGCCCTGGAGAGCCCCGGATTATACCATGATAGGATCAGGACAATTTTTCTCACTCGTGGGATGGAAGGCCTAGACAAGGGGTGAGCAGCTGCCTGTTGATCCATCAGTAACGGGCCGCGGATGGGCTGGTCAGTGAGTTTCTTGGTGTGCAGAGAGAGATTGAAGGAATTCCTCTTGTCTGGCTGCTTAAGACTAGGGTCCGGGCAAGTGGCGGTAAGATTCAGTACAGTAGTACTAGTAGATCGGGCAGGCACAGCAACCTCATCATCATCGTCATCCAATGGTGCCAATGAGAAAACAAATCATCTCCTCCGTCACACTTCGAGTTGTTTTCTACTTTGACCATCGAGTTGTTCACCGTCTCGTAATATTTCTCGGTCACGTGTATACACGCTCCCGATTGGGAAACCACGGCCACCACAACTGCCTCTTCTTTTTGCCAGCTTCTCCTCTATCTTTCCAACTCATCATCATCATTATTGTCATCGTCATTGTTTCACATGCTGCTTTTGTCGAACGGTATACTTCTATCTCCCCAGGATGTATTAAGTTGCGTGCCGCTCCAGCCTTCGTTCATTGTGACGCAACCACGTCTAACTAATGTCGACCTTCGATGGGTTTGTCCGGGGTAGGTGTATACTTCCGATCCCTTCGACAAGCTAAGTCTGCTTTCTAATGCACTGTAGAATTTCCCTCCATTCAGAGTAAGAACTTGGTAAACTCCCGATAGGTGAATACCAACTCTAAAAAAAGTCATGCAGTTGACTACTTCCGCAAAAATACAGACAGGCCGCCTCCGCTCGCCTGTTTTCTCAGCCATGTTCACAGTGATCATCTTCAAGGGCTGGAGTCTTTTAGAACTCCGTTTATATACTGCTCTGCAGCGACTCGAGAGGTGCTTATCGCTCTAAAATCTGCCGTAGCACAAGCTCATATTCTCCCAGATGCTCCTGCGTATCGAAAAGTATCCTCATCGTATGAACTTTAGCAAAGGGATCCTAGAGTCCCGGAAGCTGCATTACAAGCATCTGTCCAAGCTTCTGGTATGTATCCTAAGCCCGTTTCATTATAGTAAACTCACTGGCACAGAGGCCAATCCCGTTGAACACGCCAACGGAGCTGGATCTCACCCCACGGCTATCTATCAGAGTCACTCTGTTCGATGCAAATCACTGCATAGGCGCAGTAATGTTTCTGATAGAGGGAAATGGAAAGGCTATACTATATACTGGCGATATTCGCGGTATGTAGTCTCTTCACTAGCTTCCGCAGTCTTATTTCCCTGCTAATGGACTGTAGCTGAACCCTGGTGGGTTAACAGCATTATCCGGAATCCCGTTCTCGTCCCCTATACCCTGGGAATTAAGCAGCTAGACAACATTTACATTGACAACACCTTTGCCCGTCCGTCGCATGTATGTCATACCTTTCCATCAAAGGCAGAGGGCTTGAAAGAACTTCTGAACAAAGTCCAAGCGTATCCAGACAGCACTACATTCTATCTTCGGGCTTGGACCTTTGGCTACGAAGAAGTCTGGATGGCACTGTCAGCTGCCCTCGATTCGAAGGTGCGTGTTGTTTTCTACAACAACCAAGCTGTTGTGCTGATACAACCAGATCCACGTGGACCGATACCAAATGGATCTATACAGGTCACTAGCCGCACGCGGTGTGAACGATGCTCCTTTCCTTTGTGGATATGAACTCGGGAACCGTTTCGTTCCAGGCTGTCTTTGCGAGGATGAGAGCTCCCGCATCCATAGTTGCGAGCCAGGCCTCTACTGCTCCGCGGCTGCGTCTCAAGACACCGTCCGCATCACGCCAATTGTGACCCGCACAAATGATGGCTCAGAGATGCCCGAGATCGGGGCTGGCGGGGGAGGCGGTGATCTATACCAAGTGCATGAACTCGAGCTCCCGGACCAGTCAGCACTGGAACAGTTAGAAAAGCTCTGTTCCGAGCGCATTCAAGACACTAGTGCACTCTCGCAGACGAGACAGGCTCTTATCGACGCGTTCCGATCAAGAACCAAAGCACTATCTCTTGACAACTACGGAATGAAAGATGCACATGACTTGCCTCTAGAAGACCTCGTGGGCATACTGAGTCGTGGCCGTCCTGATAACGATTCTGCATCGAGCAAAGTGAAGCAGCACACACATCTACGAGACAGACAAGGCAAATCCCTCCCCAAGACCATTGTACGTATTCATCGTAGATCTCAGTCCTTAAATACTCTCTAACGTCCATAGCACTTCCCCTACTCCCGCCACTCCTCGTACTCCGAATTGTGCCATCTCGTTTCCGCATTCAGACCCAAAGATGTACACCCTTGCACAGTCGATCCCCTGAGCTGGGACGAGGAAGTCTCCATGCAAACCCTCTTTGGGCACCTCTGCAGTGCGAGTGGATTCGCCCACGACCAGCAGATGCGGGACCTAACAGCAAACGATCCAGAGATACGAGCAAGAAAACGAGCCCGCTACGAAGGTTCCTTTACAACACAGTCCAGCCAACAAACATCCAGCATGGTAGACAGCAGTATACCAGAACCATTCCAATCAAGCCACCCTCCACCCCCCGCAGCCACCTCTGATCTACTGTCCTCCTCAGACCGAATCCCCCTTCCATCGTCCCTCGAGCCAATCGAAGAGCCCGCCCCAGTACCCACGGACCATCCTCTCATCATCCCCACCCCATCCCCAGAAACCGCAAAGGCACGCCGCGACGAAATCCGCCGTGCCTGGCACATGCTCAACAACGCTGAGCCCTCCGAGCGAACACTCTACCAGCTCAACTCCCTCCCTTCTTCTTTGGCCGAGGAAGAATCTGAACTATCTAAGTCTGAAATTGCTCCGACCCCGCATCCTCCACTAGACAACCCACCTCATGCCACAATAACGGCATCCAAACACACCTCATCAATCCAAACACAGACACCCTCTCCCATTTCCAACACCAACCCAGACCCCAACATTCAACAACATATACTCAACCCTCAGCCACACCACCACACTCAGATGACAATGAGACCCAAACCCAAACCCAAACGAACAGCCAATCCAGCGAACCACTCTCCTTAGCATCATCAACATTCGAGTCCCAGGAACAGGAGACAAGCATCGAGCAACAACGACAACAGGAAGAAGAAAGTATAATACCCAACTATGACGGCACAGCAGACCATATCACTCCTCATTACCGCCATCGCCGCCGACAGCAAAGTCTTCGACGATCGGTATCAGCCCAACTCCGCCGGGACGCATATCTAGCCGCGCGAGCAGATAGCTTTGAAGCGTGGGCGGCAGTTTCGCTCATATCAACCGGGGATAACCATACTGAAGAAGAGATTGAGCTCTGATTAGGTCAGTCATGCGGTCTACATACATTTCATAGTGCTTCATGTACTATAAGGAAATAAGAGAAACAAATGCAGTTCATATCATGCATGGCTCATCACGTAAGTCAGGTCAGGTCAGGTTACTATATACAATCCTCCTTCCTTCCCTCCTTCCATCTCATGCATTACTCCTCCTACCTACCCCTTTCAACCAACCCACCTAAGGCCTTTCATAAGATATCGTAAAAAGAAAAGAAAGTAAAAGTCTATACATAAGAAGAAAGCAAACAACCCGAAATCTTCACCCTCAAAGATATCATGCTTAGTAAACGAAGTAATCCTGTGTCAGGGGCAGACTGCCTGCCGGTTCGGCATCGCAGAGCACTCCATCCGCCTCGACACGGTAACTTTCCGGATCGACGTGCATCTTGGGCATGATGTCGTTGAACTTCATGTCGGCTTTGCCGATGTTGCGGCAGTTTTTGACGGCTTCGACGCGTTTTTGCAGGTTGTAGGATTGGACCACGCCGGCGTCGAGGGAGGCTTGGGAGACGAAGGTGATGGATGTGGAGGGGACGAGGGCCTGGGGTTTTTGGTTAGTGATGAGGGATTAGGTCTGGAGGGCGGTGGTGACTTACGCCGAATTGGGGACGCATGATGACCGGTTGGACGGTGGGGATGGATGCGTTGGGGTCACCCTGGTTTTCATTAGCATGTGCATTTTTAGGAGTTGGATTACAGTAGGGGAGACGTACCATCACTGACACGGCGATCATGCCACTCTTCACCACCTGCGTTGGCTTCACACCAAACGCGCTGGGCGTCCACAGGACGAGATCGGCGATCTTGCCGACCTCGATACTGCCGATCATATGGGACATACCCTGCGCGATGGCCGGGTTAATGGTGTACTTGCTGACGTAGCGCTTCACACGGAAGTTGTCGGCACCGGTGCCTTCATCCTCGGGCAGTGGGCCGCGCTGCTCCTTGTTCTTGTGTGCGGTGTTCCACGTCCGCAGGATGACTTCACCGCAGCGACCCATAGCCTGGGAGTCAGAAGACATCATGCTGATAGCGCCAAGGTCGTGAAGAACATCTTCAGCCGCAATGGTTTCGGCACGGATACGAGACTCTGCGAAGGCGACGTCCTCGGCAATGTTCTTGGACAGATGGTGGCAGACCATAAGCATGTCAAGATGTTCATCGAGGGTGTTGAGAGTAAAGGGACGGGTTGGGTTGGTACTACTGGGGAGGACGTTGGGGTGCTCCACAACCGAGATGATGTCCGGAGCGTGACCACCTCCGGCACCTTCGGTGTGGTAGGTGTGGATAGTGCGGTTCTTGAATGATTCGATGGTTTGTTCAACGAAACCGGATTCGTTCAGCGTGTCGGTGTGAATCATGCACTGGACGTCGAACTTGTCGCACAGGTCGAGGCAGCTGTCAATAGCGGCGGGCGTAGAACCCCAATCTTCGTGCAGCTTCAATCCGGCGGCACCAGCATAGATCTGCTCCTCGATGCTTACGCCACCGCAATCGTTACCTTTACCGGTGATACCAACATTGATGGGCAGACGGTCGCAGGCTTGGAGCATCTGGCGCATGTGAACGGGACCAGGCGTGCAAGTTGTGGCATTGGAGCCAGTCGAAGGACCGGTTCCTCCTCCCAAGAACGTAGTGATACCAGAGGCGAGCGCCTCATCCACCTGCTGGGGGCAAATGAAGTGGATATGAGTGTCGAAACCACCAGCTGTGACGATCTTGTTTTCACCTGCAATGACATCGGTGGAGGAGCCGATAGTCATGCCCGGGGTGACACCATCCATGATATCAGGGTTTCCAGCTTTACCAATGCCCACAATGATTCCATCCTTGATTCCAATATCAGCCTTGAAGATACCAGTCCAGTCGATGATCAGAGCGTTCGTGACAACGGTGTCCAAAGCATGCTCCGTAGACTTCTCCGAAGATTGACCCATGCCATCTCGAATAGACTTGCCACCGCCGAATGTACACTCGTCTCCATAAGATGTGTAGTCCTTCTCCACACGAACCCAGAGGTTGGTCAGACCCAGACGCACGAGATCACCAGTAGTAGGGCCAAACATGCGCGCATAGGCCTCACGATCCATCGAGAACGGTGTAGGTACCAGCGCGCTATCGGCAGTAGGTTCGGGAACATGGGCGAAGTTCTGCACTTGGAGACGGGCCATGATCTCCTCGGCACGGGCAAGATCGACCTTGCCGGACGCGATGCAGTTACCTCCACGAATAACCTGGTGGCCACCAATTTCCACGAGCGTAACCACCTTGGTGTCTCCGGGTTCGAATCGTACCGACGTACCGGCGGGAATGTCGAGTCGATATCCATAGGATCGAAGGCGGTCGAAGTGCAGCTGCGGGTTGGTTTCGATGAAGTGGTAGTGCGAACCGACCTGAATAGGACGGTCACCCCTGCTCATCACCTTGAGCTTGATTCGCTTCCTTCCCTCGTTCAGGACGATACGTTCGTTCTTCACGGGTATTATCGCTCCGGGCGTCTTCTCGGGTTCATAGTCATCCGGGTCGGGGTCGGGGAAGGCATCTGCAGGGGGAATGGGGAGGAAACTGCCGTAAAGAGCCTTTTCAAGGTCTCCATCGTCGCTACTGATAGGGTTGTGTACGGTCACCAGATAGGTACCAGTGGTGAATGTTCCTTCTACCTGTAATTCGTACAGGGTAGAAACGACGGAGGGGAGAACGTGCCGGCGACCCAGCATGCTCTTTCCGATAGACATGAGATCGGCTACGGAGTATTGTCCATCGCGGATCAGCTGTAATCGGGGAACAGGAGTTAACAGGGATGATCAATGTGATTTTCTCGGGGTGGTGGGCTGTTTACCTCCTGCAGGTTGGACGAGATCAACGCCTACCAAATATCGTCAGTCATGTTTCCAGCAAATCACGATGCGCATGAAATCAAGCTAATATGCAACATACCGCAGCTTCGGCATGGTTGAGACGAATACCGCGAGCCAGTCGACGCTGAGCCAGGAAGCCCAGCTGAGAGATAACGAGCTTGTCAAGCTGGAGAGAAGAGCAGAAAGTCAGTCACTCCACCTAATTCGAGCAGTTTAGCGCGGCAAATGTCGCAGCATACCTCCTTGGGACTCAAATGCATGCTGGGCTGGCAGTGAAAATGCCCTTGACTTCGAAATCACAGACGTCCTCGCGGGACCAAGAATGAAGCAGCGGACCCAACCTCCGACGCAAAGCGGGTTTTCTGGGGGTGGAGGAGGTGGGCGGGCAACAATATGAGCTGTCAGATAGCAAACGCGGACTTTGTTGTTATTTTGGAGAAGTTGACAGGCCAGAATGGACCAGGGACGCAGGCTCGGGAGAGGAATTTAAACGCCACGGCCGGGGGAGAAAAGGCGCGCCGGATCGGGAGGTAAGAGTGGAAAAGGTGGGGATATCCAGACATTCCATCTTTGGCATCCCTCATACTTTGGCGAAACGAGCGAAGCCTTCTACCCGATAAGCGGTCGGCAGCTGCTGATAAGCATGACATCGACCTATGGCAGCCCGGCTTGGACCAGGTGACTAACGGCTTGCAGTCAATCGGGAAACTTCGCTTGGAGTTTTGGAACTGAACATCGGCACTCGCCGGCCACTGCAGCCTCCACTTCTTTCCCCTTTCAGTCTAGTCGCTATCAGTTCCAATATGTACCCCGGGGAATGATACCACCACCGTAACATCTATTTGAGCTAGTATCTACATTCTACATGCTGCTACTGGACTAGTCAATGTATAAGCTGTCATTTAGGTTGAAAATAAGCTTTTCTTTTTCCTTTTTATTCTTTTTTTTTGTCTTCCATTCCAAATTGAACTACCAATGACCCAGCCCCAACTGAATAACACCCCGCAAAGCGCAAAACAGTCAAGACGCCAACAGGTCCTAGGAATTTAAAAGAGATAACACAGCGACCCCAATAGCAATGGCTCCCAACAAATCAATCCGCAATATGCTACACACACAGAGAGTAGTCATATAAAGGGACAAAATTTACATCACGTAGCAACTACCAGTAGCAGTAGACAGGCGCCCAATTCCAACTTGAACACCATACCTTCTCCAGATCATGATCACCAATCGCCTCATACTGGTCATACTTACTCCTCAGCACCGGCCTCGCTCTTGCGCTTCTTCTTGGTGGCGCGCTTGTTCTCGCCACCTGCAGCCTTGCGGGCAGGGGTCTCTTCCTGCTCCTTCTCCTTGCGAGCAGCAGCGCCGCGCTTCTTCTTCTCGGGGGACTCCTTCTTTTTCTCGCTGGGGGTCGGTGCCTCCTTAGCAGCAGGCTTGCCCTCGCTGCGACGACGCTTGGTGCTGCGCGGGGGAGTGGGCTCCTTGACCGGCTCGGGAGAAGACTCCTCCTCGGACTCTTCCTCGGATTCCTGCTCCTCATCTTCAGACGCCTCGGTGGCCTCGGCGCCCTCAATGCCCTGGTGCAGCTGGCTGGCAGCCTTGGCATCATCCGAGTAAGGGAGACCAGCCTTGTAGGCCTTCACCTTCTCCTTGTAGATGGCAAGGTTGTCCGCATACAGCTTCTTCCAGACCTGTGCGCAAGTTAGCAACGGTGCTCTTCGTGATCAAAAGGCGCAAGTCGACATACCTCCTTCTGGGGTTCAGGCATCTCAGCCCAACGGCGAGTACCCTCGTCGGAAACCTCCTTGGGCTTGGCATTGGGACCCAGCTCCTCAGC